TATCCAACGGCTGTGAAGATTCTAAACTAACACGAGTCTCATATGTGTCCAGTTTAAGGGTATTACACAGAAATACACCACAATAACATGAATCAAATATGTACTTTATTCATTTACAATAAATGTCATAATGTACATCATGCTGATTGGAGCTAAGGGCATACACTGCCTAACACAAACACATGCTTGTTTGCAAGTTTAAAGGTTATGGCATTAGGAATGAATTCAAATCCTCAAGGATCTGATTTTAATTTTCAACTATCAGCATAAGCTATTATATAACATGTAGTATAATATCTACCACTAATTGTTAAAGACCAGACACTGCAATTATCAACACCAACATCAATTGGGGTCATTGCTTGGTGCAATGGTAAAATCTTGGTCCGACAAGTGTTGGAACCTGGATTGAAGTCCCAGAGTAGCCACATTGTGTACAAAATGCCAGAGCTTAGGTCCCTATCCAGTCTACCCCCTGCCAAGCCCCCAGATAGTATGGACCAGCATTGGGTAATGATAGCCATTTTACGATCCATTATAATATCATGAATATGATAGCTATATGGATCTACTTGAGAACAAGGACTGTCTGATTTCCACTTAGGGGTTGTTGCTTGGTGAAATGAGAAAATGTTGGGCTAGGAAGTGTTAAAATGTAGGTTCGAGTTTGAGAACAGCCACTTTGTTAAAAAATGAAAAGAAAAAGGGAAAAAAGCTAATGGCTAGGTTTGTATCCAATCCACCCTACTCAGGAAACCAGATAGCTAGGACCGATATTGGGTAATGACTTTTTTCTGTGCTGTTTTCCTTTCTATATGCATTCTTTCTGGTAATTTTCTTTTTCTTTTATTCCTCAGTCATGATCATTATTTTGCCCTTAGCTGCAGATATGATATGCTTATTATCCTTTAATGTGTCAATTTTCTTGTTTTGGTTGCTATTGGTATTGGCATTGTTGTTGTTGTTTCTTTTTTCTCCTCTTTTTGCCTCATAAAATTTTAAAATGTAGGAAGGACTGATGCAAACTCATGATGAGGAAACCTACAAGTTTCTGAAGAACTCTTCAGTCAAAGTTTTACTTTGTCCCCGATCTGCTGGGAAAAAGCATAGCTGGGTCAAAAAGCAGGTTAGAGCTAAATCATTATTTTGTCTCCATATCTGACCTTTGATTTTAATTCAGGTGTGATTTTTTTAAATATTAATGAATGGTTTTTTTATATTATGCATGAATTTTATAGATGCCATTTATAGCCATTTGAGATTGTCTTGTATTAATTAGCTTAAGGTTAAGTCCTGAATTGTGATTCATTGATGTGATAGCAGTTGGCAGTCTGCCCACCAATCTTTCAATAGACACTTAAAAATACCATTTTTTCCCAGGAGTCAGGAATCCTCAATGTTTACTTGAATATTTGTCATTCAGGCTGTCAACAATTTTTCACACAATGCAGTTTATTTGTCAGTTATCATATCTTCTTTTTTGTTTGAGTAACAAATCATTTAGGTGCTTCAAAGAAGTTTTCTTTCACGAAGTTCCTTGTAGCCTACTAATATATCAACCTAGATATAATTAGAGTTCCTGACATTTTATATAGGCATGCTCTTTTAATGTTAATGACAAGCCTAATCATTGTGTAGATTTCAGATACATAGGCGGGCCTCTCACATTGAACAATCTTTCTTAGATTTTAATTTATTAATGGAAACAATTACTGCACATCAAAACTCACTTCCCGAGTAAATTTAGGTTCTTTACAAACATTAGATCACTTCCCCTGATGACCTTTGCTTCTTTATCATGGATTATTTCCCAACTTTGTTAACTAGGATAGTTTCTAATTCTAAGATGTTCCAAAATTTGCTCTTCTTTCTCATATATCATTTGAAGTCCCTCCAACTTTTTATACATTATTAATATTTAGTTAGGGTCTTTCAATCTTTTAATGAGGTTTTATTTTATGTTTTATGTGGCTGGATGTTTGTCTAGTGCTATTCCTGATATATGATTTTTCCTTTTGAATTTCTTGGATCTAAAATTTCATATTAGTTATTTTTTATAAGAAAAATAGAATTGTTTCTAAATGTAAGAAATTAAGTAAAAAGAACTTTTGGTTACTTATCTATTCCAATTTAGTATCAGATACAGAACATTTGCACTAAATCTATCCTTCTCAATTTTTCTGTTTATCAGGAAGTTGGGACAATCTATACCCATCATCAGAAATGTGTGATTGTGGATGCTGATGCTGGTCATAATAAAAGAAAAATCATAGCTTTTGTTGGAGGACTTGATTTATGTGATGGGCGATATGATACTCCAAATCATCCTATATTTAGGACATTGCAGTCGGTGCATAAAGATGACTTTCATAACCCTACTTTCAAGGTGAAGCATCTAAACTCACTCTTCTATCTTGTTGCAATCTAGCTATCATGTAAAGATTTCTGATTTATACTCCCTTACACTTTCTATTCTGTCATCTTCTTTGGTGTTGGTCATGCATGTCTGTCATTCCACCACTACCAAAAAAAAACACTAGAAGGGTTGGGTTCAAAGTTATCCAAAGAATTTAAAATTAAGTAAGGATCATCTTTAGGCTCCATGTGATCCAATCAAATCTTGTATATACATGTCTAACTCGATTTGGTAATGGCCCAAACCAAGAGTTGGGTCTTGGTACCAAAAATTGAGTTTTGTTCGTTGTTTCTACCACTACCAAGACCTGGGTCCCTGGATAACTGTGATCAACATTAGGTAATGGCTGGCTCCTTGTTCTTTCCCCATTTGGATAAATGATAAATCTAAATGCCATGGAAAACCTTAATTATTCTTTTGTTTTTCCATGGGCTGGTTGGATTTGGTTTGAGTAAAACTAAATTTAAATTATATGCATATCATGTTGAAAATTGAAACACTCGCATATAGAAATATATGGAGTTTAACTTCTAAAATATAATTCAGACTATCAAAAATTCTAGCAGAAATTGAGTTAACATTAACCTTCAGTAGTAAATGATCTTGCAAGGTTACTAATGCATATTCTTCCTCTTTGTTTACTTGTATTGTTCCATAATAGGGGTCAGATGTTGGCTGTCCAAGAGAACCATGGCATGATTTGCATTGTAAAATTGATGGTTCAGCAGCCTATGATGTTCTGATCAACTTTGAAGAACGTTGGTTGAAAGCTTCAAAAGCCCATGGGTTAAGAAAATTGAAAACGTCTACATCTGGTGATGATCTACTAAGGATAGAAAGAATACCTGAGATCATTGGGATGCCTGATGCTCCTTGCATAAGTGAGACTGATCCAGAGACTTGGCATGTCCAGGTACATTTGTAATTAATAGTACTAAATTTGAATCATTTTGCTTTGGATTTGAATCTGAATGTTTCATGTTTATTTCCCAATGACTGAAGGTCTTTCGTTCCATTGATTCAAACTCTGTGAAAGGCTTCCCTAAGGATCCCAGAGATGCTACAAATAAGGTGAGAGAAAATATATTATCATAATATACCTTTCCTGTGGTTTGTACATTCTATATATCAATTTATGTGAAGGTTGATTAACTACTTATATGCCCTTCAACAGAACTTGGTTTGCAGTAAGAATGTATTGATTGACATGAGCATACATACAGCTTATGTCAAGGCCATCCGAGCTGCCCAACATTTCATCTATATTGAGAACCAATACTTCCTTGGTTCATCATATAATTGGGCTTCATACAAAGACACAGGTAAGGAACTTTAACATTTTAGTATGTTGAACACTTGTTGCTGTTTGTGATATGTCAAGGAAGTTAATCTGGGCTTCTTGTTGGGATGCTAAAATATGTCATTGTAGAGATTTGATATTCTTCATTAAGATTTTATTGTCAACAATATTATTCATGAAGTCATGATTGGTACATGAGCCTCCCTTAAATATTACTGGTGATTGATGGCTGTCTCAAGTAGTTAAAAACATTTCCTCGTTTTGATTAGCTTAGTCTTGATTGGTGCATATTTAATCAGGATTGCATTCAAAAGAAAATATTTTATAGTAAAAGTAATGATTTGTGCGGTTTATCAGTAACTTTAAGAGCAACCAACCTAGTAAATTAAATTTTGGAGTTGCTGCTTCGTTAATCTTTACTGAAAGTCAAATTTGCCCACATTTCTGATACATATGGGGGAAGAAACTGTCCATCTACTGTCTAGAGCTAGAGAAGTATCTTAGAACTGTAAAAACATCTGAAGAAGAGAAATATCTTTGCATTCTGAGATAAATGCCATTGTCTCTCTTATGATAGTGACAAAGTGCATTTGGCACTGCATAAAAAATTCTCCAAATGTTTCAATGGTAAAATCTGTGAGTCCTTGTTTAGTTATTTGAGGCATGGTTTATGTTTGTACCAAATAGTTGCTGTAGCCGACCCCAAATAGTTGGAATTAAAGCTGAGTTGAATTGAATTTAAGTTATTTAACTTGGTTAAAATAATTATCTTTTTTTAATTTGGTTAAATTAAAATTACACAGTTTTAATCAAATCAATTATTTTGTTTAAAGTAAAACAAAAAAATGTATTAAGTTAGAATTTCTTAAGATGGTAGATATACAACTTGAGAAGTACAAGGATTGATTTGATGAGAAGCTATATTCTAGTTTAACTTATTTATTCAAAATTAGAAGACAAAGGGGAATGGTAAAAAAGTAATCAGAAAAATTTATGACAACTTATTAATACTCCTATTTGCATGTTTACTTTTATTTCGCCCTTATGTCATATGGAATTATGTTGATATATTACCAAATAATTTTATAGAAAATGAAACATTATTTGAATATGAATAAAATTCAATTATTCATATTCATATGGTATTTGGAATAATGATAATTGTGCCATTTTCCAACATGAATACAAAATATTTTTTAATTAGTAAATTCATATTCATATGGTATTTGGAATAATGATAATTTTGCCATTTTCCAACATGAATACAAAATATTTTTAATTAGTAAATGAAGATTTCTATATCTTAATAAGCCAGGTGTGGTACTTTATCCAAAAAATCAAATAAAATAAGATGAGCTAACCTCACTATTGTAATTATGTTGAACAGTAAAACTATGGCCACTTCACTCAAGACTTGCAATTAAAAATTGCTTGAAGCTCTATGTGGTATTGAGGGAGAGGGACATGGAATAAGATTTGTACTTGTTTTGTTGTTTCTTTATGCATATATCATGTGGCTTTTAGGTGGTGCTTGATAACTGCTGAAATAGGTGTTGAAAACAGAATGCAGAAAGGATTTTGAATTTAAAAATGCCCCATTCAGCATTTCAGTAACCTGGGGCATACTTTTGCAGAATGATGAAGCACAGGCATTGGAGTGATCAGTTTACCTTTAAATGCATGATTCTTTTTTTAAGTTTGGTATCTTTTCCACTTTCAGCACCTATTTTAGCAGTTACTAAGCATCACCTTAATTATTAGAAACTTACTCTGGATGGTAATGAAAATACCTAATTTAAAAATGCCCCATTCAACATGTCAGTAACTTGGAGCCTACTTATTTGCAAAATGATGAAGTACAAGTAATGGGGTGATTATTTTACCTCTAAAGGTTTTTCATATACCAGTAATACCCTAAATTTAAGATGTTTTTTAAGTTTGGTATCTTTTTTTGTATTCCACTTGTTTGCTGGAACACAGCAGCTGAAGAAGAAGAAGAAGAAGAAGAAGAAGAAGAGAAGAAGATTTGAGAATGGCGGATTACTCACTTCAGCCGGCCCTACAATCTTATATAGATGTTTACAAAATAATGTTACATGAATAGACTAGAATGCCCCTGATTAGTGATGGGACACCTAGACAAATAAAACATAAACAAGTTTAGGCCCAATAACTAAGGACTTAAGACACAAATATGACTAACATAAACACTAAACCAGCCGAACCAACACTCCCCCTCAAGCTAAGCATGGATGTCAGTCATGTTTAGCTTGCTGTAGAGAAGATGGGCTGAATGGCCCATAGGTTGTTTATTCTTTCTTGTTATTTATGTTTTTCTATAATGGGCCTTATTCTGGGCCCATCCTGTCTATATTAAGTTCTTTGTAAATTCTTGCCCAACTAAGGGCCTCCTTGTAATTATTCAAATATATCTTAATAA